AGGGCACAGGCTTGTCCCAAGGGTATACAGGGGGCATAGTGGCAGAGATGGTGAGGACCTGGTTTCCATCTCCCTGCCTGGCTGGTCACTGTCCCCTGTCCTGATCTTGTAGCCATGGGCACCTCAGCTGAGACCCAGAAAGACAACTGCTGGAGGCCTCTGTGGTAACGCAGAGCATCTGAGGCCAGGTGGCCAATTGGAGGGGCTCCTGGGGCCTTTCCCTAGTGCCCAGGGCCTGTCCCACGGGTGGGGGTTGAGGTTTCGGTTCCTCCCAGCTCCTGGGTCCCCAAGTTTCACTTTGATTCAGTGAGCAAGAGCCCGCGTGAGAGCCAACACCACTGAACCCCCACCCTCTCTGCACACCTGGTTTGCCCCAGCCCCTCCCCCTCCTCTCACCCCCAGTTCCTTTTCTCATGGGGTGGTGTGCTGGTGTTCGGGAGAGCCCTGGGGATAATGGGTGATGGTGGGGTGCTGCCATGTGGGGATCTCAGTTCAGGGAGTCAGTCTGGGGGCCAGCCAGTACAAGAGTGGTGGGGCGATGGAGGGGGTAGAGTCTCATCTGCAGTGGGCAGTCCCCTGACAAGGTGGTCTGGAGCTCAAGGTGAAGTGGCCTTGGCTTGCTTCTCCACCCTGCATGCCCTGCCGCCCCTTGGGGCAGAAAATCCCACAGTCCTTTCTCTCTGGCTTGGGAATATGGTTTAATCCCTGGCCGCACAGTCTGTGGTTCAGAGACTTTACAAGGCTTCAAATCCCTGCCCCTGCTGTGTCACTTCCTTCTGTCCCTTTCTCTGCCTGGGCCTCAGTTTTCCCATCTAAAATGGGATACCAAGGAATTGCTGAGGTTTCTTCTAGCACCAAAATTCTGAGTTTCTCCTGGTTCCGTCCAAGCCCTCTTGGCATTATTTTAGAGCAGGAGTTCTCCAATGTTTGCTCCTGGGTCCCTTTAAACTCTTAAAAATTATCAAGGACTTCAAGAAGCTTTAGTTTATGAGGGTTAATTAATATGGATGAAAGTTTAAAATAGTCATTAAAAATAACAAGTAACAAAAAAGTAACATAAATAATATTTTTGAAATAAGAAAGAACCAAATCTTCCAAACCCCAAATTTAGTATGAGCAGCATTGGCTTCCGGTTCTGCAGATCTCTTTAGTGTCTGGCTTAACAGAAAACAGCTGGACTCTCATATCTGCTTCTGTATCCACTCTGTTGTGATGGACGCATCTTATAGCTTCTGAAAACCTCCACTGTAGACTTGTGAAAGAATGAGAGTGAGGAAGGCAAATCACACCTTGGCATTAATATGAAAATAACAGGTGAAGCAAACTACCATGGCACATATATATACCTATGTAATAACCCTGCACATTCTGCACACGTATCCCAGAACTTAAAGTAAATTTAAAAAAATATGAAAATAATTCTGCCCTCACAGATCACCTGAAAGCATCTTGGAGACCCCTTCTTCCAACCCCGGCAGGGCTCCCTGGACTATACTTTGAAAATTTCTGCCTCAGGCTGCTGCAAAGTCTGAACTTGCCTGTTTATCACTCATATAGATAAGGAGAGCAGTTAAGTGGTTTCAGTTAAGAGAAAGGTGCTGTCAGTCGTTTCTCCTGTTCTTAGCTCCTGAAGGCAGGTCTTTGAGCTAGGAGGAAGTGACAAGACACACTGGGCTTTGGAAATCCTCCTCTAGCAGATCGGGATATGTAGTGCTTCTTGCTTCTATCCCAGGTTGAGCTCCCACAGAAAGACATAGCTACTGAGCCTCCTCTCCTTCCCAGCAGAATGTCGGTCAGGCTTGAGGTCTGATTTCCCTTCAGCAGGCTTCCTTCTGTACCAGCAGCCGCTGCCTCATGCTCCACGAGAGCCTGGGGAGTGGGTGTTTCAGAACCCTGCCATGTGTCCTCATCCAGCTCAGCTCTGCACTTGCCTGGAGACTGCATCTGGGGCATATTTTTGAAGGGGGAAAAAAACCCCCAAAAAACCTAGCAATGCTATTGATTGGGAATGACACAAAATAAAATAAGGAAGTGGATTTGGTATTTATCTTGACTCCTGGCATTTGAGGAAAAGCAGATCTAAAACGTGGTTGAGAAAGGGGAGATTTTTGTTCTGATTCCACAGGGCTTCTGGGTGTGTTTCTGGAATGTTTCTGGGTGACTCGTGTGTGTGTGTGTCTGGGGGCGAGGTCTGTGTGTGCCTGCATGTGTTTAATTTCACTTTGAAATATCCAGTTTTCATTTTTATTAGTACAAATTAACATTTGTATTAGTTCTTCCTTGGGGCATTTTATTCCAGTGACAGAATTAAATGGGGGAGAGGGAGAACAAGAGAATGTCTTAAGTTATTTCAGAAAAATTGAGAGAGGAAGAAGGATAAAAGGTCGAGAGAAGGTATGTGTGAGAAATAGATTGCTTGTAGCAAAATTAACTGATATATGAGAGGAAACAGGCAGAGAGAAAGGCATAGCCTCTTGAGGGACTAAACTGAGGATGAACGTGATGGGGGGGGTCAGACACTTCCCAGCACCAGCCACCAGGTGGCACCATCGACCCAGGACAGCTTAGTTGCTGTCCAGGGTTAGGGACAAGAGGGGTAGCAGGGCAGTGTGTGTCCGCCATTTGTGAGCTTGGTATGCTTGTAACCAAGCTCAGAGGTGGCAGTGCTAATGTGGCTGATTATTCACTGAAGTCTCACCTCTTTGGCAGCATTCAGTCAGGGAGAGGGGAGCTGGACCATTGCTACTAGGGATTAATCTGGTCCTTTCTCACCTCCATGATCCCAAATGTCTTGATAGAAACCATTCCAGGAGTGGAGTCCTTGGTTCTACTCTAAGCCTTTACTTGCTGTGTGATCTTGGCCAAGTCACTTCTCTCTGAGCCTTGTTTTCCTCATGTTACAATGTGGAAATTGGAGCCAATGATTTTTGAGGGTCTTTTGGGCTCTGAGACTCTGTGGTGTACCAGGGGGTACTAGAGCTGGAGTTAGATTCTAGATCTTTCTCTGTCAGCCATGTGACCTTGGGCAGGTCACTGCTCACATCTATGGAGATTATAGTCACATCTCCCTCATAGATTTATATAAAATAAAAGATTGAAAAAGGCTTTTGAAATCTTTTTGGTGCTTTAGGAAAGGGGGAGTGTTGTGATTTATAATTTTTGCTGGATTTTTAAATTTTTTCGAGACAAGGTCTGGCTCTACCGCTCAGGTTGGAGTGCAGTGACACAATCTCAGCCCACTGCAACCTCTGCCTCCTGATACTGAGCTCAAGCCACCCTCCCAGCTCAGCCTCCGAGTAGCTGGGACTATAGGCATGCACCACCAAGCCTGGTTAATTTTTGTATTTTTTGTAGAGACAGGGTTTCACCATGTTGCCCAGGCTGGTCTCAAACTCATGAGCTCAAGCAATCCACCTGCCTTGGCCTCCCAACGTGCTGGAATTACAGGCAGGAGCCACTGCATCCAGCCTTCCTTGGAATTTAAATTAGCCAGAAGCAGGTGTTCTACCATCTTCACTGCTTAGAAAGTTTGTGCCTCTATATGTGACCACAGAAAAAGGCCTGCCTTATGGCAGGTGTTTGCTCAACATCACTGCATCTCTGTCCTAAATATCCATTGAATCTGCTCATTTCTCTCCATCCCCATTGCTACTGCCTTGGTCCAAGCACTCTCTCTTCTCGTTTGGACCATTGCTGTAGTCTCCTGTCTGGTCCCCATCTCCAATGTCATTGACTTGTCCAAACAACAGTCTGCCCTCCACATCACAGCTGTAATATAGTTCTGATCAGTGACTTGCCTGAAGAATTTTAACCTTCAAATTTGCCCATTGTTCTCAGAAGCTGTGCAAACTTCTTAACAAGGCTGCCAGGCCCTCTCCACTCTCCTCTTTTCATGCCCATTCCAGTCATACCAAACCTCTCTCCATTCCTTAAACATCATGGGCTCTCTCCTGTTTGCATTCTAGCAGTTAGACAACCAGGGTTCTAGTGCTGACTCAACAATGACTACTCCTGTGACCTCAAACTACTCTCCGAGCCTCAGTTTCCCAATTGTGCTTGTGATTGGGCTGTTGCATGAATTGAATGAGATAATGCATGTAAAGCGCTCAGGATGACCCCATATATAATAAGTGGTCAATAAAGAGTGCCCTTTATTATGCTCTTCCCACTGCTTGAAAAACTGTCTTCCTCCCTCACCCTACCCTGGCTGACATCCTAAACTTCAGGATCTAGCTTGTACCACTTCCTAAGTGAGGGCTTCTCTGATGCTCCTCTCCAACCCAGCTACCACAGCACACAGAACCTGCCTGTTCATCAAAATACCACATTTGTCACTCACCTGTTTTCCCAGCTGGAAGACTGAGCTCCATGAATGCAGGAACTGTATCTGGAGCAGTCACCAATGTCACCTTAGTGCCCAGCACAGGGCTGGTTCACAGCAGCAAATATGTACTGAATGGGGGCCATGGATATCACAGAAGCCATAGGCTCATCTGGGGAATGAGTGCAGGCTGCTGAGTGGAACCCAGAGCCTTGCACTTCAAGCATCCCTGCAGTCCTGCCTGACCCCAGAGCCTCCATCCTCCAGGATCTTGTGACAGTCATTCTAGATCGGGAGGGAGCTCTCTCGTGATCTAAATACACACATGCACACTGCACATATACATGCACACATATGCATGCTGGGGCCTGTGGTCCTCTTCCTGCTTGCCATAGCTAAGCATATGCTCCAGACGAATATAGATCACAGCCCCAAATAGGAACTACAATATGGGACAACTATAATGGCTAACATTTATTGAGTGCTGACTATGTGGATTTTAAATTATTAACTCATGTGATACTTACAACCACTGTACCAGGTGGATACTCGTGTTATTCTCATTTTACAGAGATATAGAGGGAGTGAGAAAATTTCCCAAGGTCATGCAGATCAGCAATGGCAGTGTTGGGACTAGCACCCAGGTACTTACTAGCCACTCCAGTCTGCCTCTCACAGAGAGCGTCACAATAGGATGACATCAGTATGAGGCTGTGTTCTCCAGTGGAATGTCCTCAGCTCTCTCCAGCATGGGGTGTTGATTCTACTTGTTTGCAGTTCTGCCTGTTCCCCATCATCCTGTCTGGCTGAGCTCAGAGGGACCTTGGCTCAGAATGTTTTGTAACTCAGGGGTTCGCCATTTCTGAAGCTTTCCTGACACTGCTCTGCACACTTCCCTGTCAGACCTGCAAGTTGGTTACCTTCAAGTGCAGTCGGCTGATCACATGTGGGTTTTAAGTCACAGCAGGTGGTGCAGTGGGCAGACTGGGGTTTGAGTCCTGCCTTCCCTTTTACTAGCAGTGTGGGCTTTGACTCACGCTGGCTTTAGCTTCTTTGAGCTTCGATTTCCTCACCTGTCAAAAGGGGATGATAATTCCTGCCTTGGAAAATGTTTCCTATAATATTTTGGTTAGCACTGGCACATGGCAAGTTTCAAAAATATCACCTACTATTTTATCATTTTTATTATCAAGGCAAAGTGTTTTTAGCCTGAATCTAGATTCCTCAAAAAGATCTTGTTGAGAACGTTTTAAGTTCCCAGATCTTTTGTTTCCTCTTTCTCTCTGTCTCTCTCTCTCTTTTTTTTTTTTTTTTTTTTTGAGACAGGGTCTCATTCTGTTGCCCAGGCTGGAGTGCAGTGGTGCATACATAGCTCACTGCACCCTGGCCTCCTGGGCTCAAGTGATCCTTCCACTTCAGCCTCCAGAGTAGCTGGGACTATAGGCATGCACCACCACACCTGGCTATTTTTTTTTTTAATTTTTGTCAAGATAAGGTATCGCTTTGTTGCCTAGGCTGGTCTTGAACTCTTGGACTCAAGTGATGCTCCTGCCTCAGTCTCCCAAAATGCTGGGATTAGAGGGTTTCTCTCTTTTTTAATGGTCTTTTATTTATATTACTAAGTTTCATGATAGGATTGTCCAGGTTAGGGTCAGAAGAAAAGGAAAGAAATATCAACTGGAATTCATGCTGGCAGAATTTAACTCCATGTTTCAGAAACCCACACAATTCAAGTTGTAGATGAGGACAGTCGTCAGAAGTAAGGTGAGCCTGGCACGACACTGGAGAAGCCTGGGTTTCTTGTCCCTACTCGGCCCGGCCTTGCGGTGTGGTCTGAGTCCCATCCCCGCCCCTCCCGAGCCTCGTTAGGATGCACTGAGCCTGGACAACCCTTCCAGCTCCTGATCCTTTCTCCTCCCCGCTCCCCGCCGCTCTCCCTCCCTCCTTCATCTTCTCGCTCTTCGTTTCCTTTCTGTCTCAGACACAAACGCCATCCAGCACTTCTGAATAGTACTTTTGTTCCGTGAACATCTCTTTTCTGAAAAGGACGATTGGTCAGGTTTGTATCTTTTAACTGCTGGCACATTTTATCAGTTAAGAACCTTCGTACCTCCCTCTCCGGAGGCAACCTCAAGGAGGCAGGCAGGCAGGCAGAGAGGCAGAGAGGGGAGCGTTTATGGGAGACAATGGGTGAAAAACAACTGTTTGGGGGCCTAATTTATGGTCTCTCCAGCAAATGCCTTCTTTCCAGGGAGCCCCCTTTCCTGCTCTTCCCCATGGCCCCGAGGATCTTCCAGCAGAGTCCAGTTTATGACTCCTTCCTAGCTCCCCAAAGAATTGGGAGAGGGAACGAGCAGAGCCTGTGCCTGAGTCATCTCATTCAGGCGTTTGAGGTGGGGCTTGGAGTCCTGGCTCGGCATTCCCTCGCTGGTGATCCTAGGCAACCCATGCTGGGCCTCGATTTTCCTACTGGCAACCGAGACAGCAGGACACCTTTTTCAAATTCTTGTGCAAATTCAGCGAGAAGCAGCTTTGTAAGCTGTAAAGCTCTATTGCCTATGAGAGTATCATTGCAGTTCATCTCACATACCCACTCTGTGGCGAGGGACACATTTCTTAACATCTCCAAGGGTCAGTTTCCCCATTTGTAAAATGGGGACTTAGGCCATACCATTACGCTGAGAATTCCATAACAGAGGTAAAACACCTGGCACAGTTCTTGGCAGTGGGAGGTGCCCAGGTCTAGGTTGGGCCGTTTTCCCTTTCCCTTTCTTGTTCCTTCACAGCGCTGTTCTCTGAGTGCCGCGCGTAGCCACGCAGCCGCAGGCGTCTGAACCCAACTGGCCACTCTCTGACCTGCACCCCACTTCGCTCCTCTGTAGAAGAGGGATAATACCAGTATCTGTTTCAGAGGGCTGTGGGGAAGATTAGACCGTGCCCATCCGTGGCTCGGCACAGAGTCAGCACCAGGTGAACGTTGGTGATGCTGCCCGGCCTTCCTCCCTCTAGACACCCAGACACTGAGCGTGGGCTGGACGGGACCCGGCCATTATCTTCTTGGAGCCTATTCCTGTCGGGTGAAGAAAAACAGGCCTGATGGGAGCAGGAAGCGAGTTGTTCAGGGTCTCACCGAGTCATATCCCAAGGTCTTTGAGGGATGTCTAGGGATGCCGCGGTGCTAGCCCGGCAGAGAGGCCGAGGTTCCTGCAGGGAGACCCGTCCCTTCCTCCTCGGCCCCGCGGTCCGGGCGCCCCTTGGGCCTCGCTCCTTGCCCACCAGCCGGGGGGTCTCCGGGTTCGGGCTCTGACCGGGAAGCCCCCAGAGCAGGGGGCGGAGGGCACCTGGATTTCCTGCGCGACGTGGAAGGAGAAATGAATTTAGCCGCGGCAGAAGGTGGCGCAAAGAGAAGGCAGCGCGCTGCGCCCCCCGGGAAGGAGGCCGCCCGTTCGCTCCGGCCTTCGCCAAGCATTTGCAATTTAATTGACATTGGCGGCAGGAAGCCAATCAGTCTAAGTCAATTGACGTTCCGAGATAAAACTAATCGGCGGCCCGCGCTGCCCCCGCCGGCACGGCCGCGGCGGGGCCCGGGGCGCAGCGTGGAGGCGGCGGCGCGCCCTGCAGGTCCCGGCGCTGGCGCGTGGCTCGGCCCGCTGATTGCCGCGCGGCCCGCGGCGGCCGGGAGAGGCCGGTAATAAATGACTTTATTTGCTGGGGCCCCGCAGAGAACAATTGAGTTTGTTATGGTAACAACGGATGCCAGCTTTCCGGGGCCCCGGGGGGCTCGGGAGCGGCGGCAGCCGGGAGCTGGGCAGCGGAGCAGATGATGCGCGCCGGGGCGAGGGCGCCGGGCGGGGGCTGGGCGGAGCTGGCGTGGGACCCGGCCTGGAGGGACGGACCGGGCCTGGAGGGGCGAGGCCGGGACGGATCGGGGACACGCAGCGCGGAACCGGGAAGGGAGTGGTCGATCATTCCTTGCTGTTGGACAGGCCGGTCCTCCTGGATGTGACTGCCACTCTTTTTCTTTCCTCTGTCCCCGAGCCTGAGTGGGTTCTCTGGTCTTGGTGGATGATGACTTCACATACACTTTTTGTCTCTTGTACCGGTGGAAAATTAGAAAAAGGCACAAACACAAAGGCATCCCTTTTTCCAGTGACCTGCAGTGGCTTGAGAAGTTCGGGACTGGATTTGGACCCTGCCACGTGTGCCTTGCCCCTGGAGAGAAGGCCTTCCTTCCATCTCTGTCCCCTGTGTGTATCCCCATGCTCTATGGCCAGGTGCCGCCTCAAAAAGCTCTTTTTGCCCCACACAGAAGCCTACCGCACCGAGAAGGCTGGCTCTGAGGCCCGACAGCCTTCTCCTGCCTCCCCCGTCAGACCTTGAGTTCCAAGGGCAGAAGTCGTCTCCCAATTCGTCTCAGACTCCCTCAGCGTCCAGTGTAGGGCCTGGACTCATGTGGCAGTAGTGAGGGAGTGAACATCTCTCTTGTTTGCAATCTCTTGCTTTCCCTCTGGTTACAGACACCAGAGTCCCCTTTTCCAGCTCTGTTTTCAGGCATGATGGCATTCACTCACTCACTCAACAAACAAGTGAGAACCAACCTTTCATCCAACAAGGAAGGCCCTGGCCAGTGAGTGATAATGTAACCCGTGTGATAGTGGGCAGGCACCTATTATGTACTCAGAGTTGGCAAAGGTGTAATACATGCTTGCTGAGGGCTTTTCCTTTTGTCATGGTACTCAGTGATTCCTGGTGTCACCCCGTGACAATCACCCCTCCTCCCATTTGCAGATGGACAAACTGATGCCCAGCATGTTTGAAAACCTGTATGATGAAGTGGAATGGGTCTAACCTGGGACTGTAACACTAGTTTGCTGTGTGAGCTTTGTCCATTTTTTCCCCCTCTCTGAGCCACAGTATCCTTACCTATAAAATGGGGGAGTTGCAAATTATGGTCTCTGAGGGCCAGTTGAGTGTGAGGAAGAGGGACCCAGGTCTCTGCTCCCAGCCCAGCTCTCTTTGGCCTTATAGTGTGACCACTGGGGGAAAAAATTGCCCTCCACCCTGAGCTGTATTAGGCTGATGATTAGAGTGAAGCACTCACTGTGTGACAGGCACTATGAGTGTGTAGGCACCAATACTGTTTTCCTTCGGCTGTTGGAAAAAATGAGGCCAAAGCGTGGTGGCTCATGCCTGTAATCCCAGCACTCTGGGAGGCTGAGGCGGGCAGATCACCTGAGGTCGGGAGTTCGAGACCAGCCTGACCAACATGGTGAAACCCCATCTCTACTAAAAATACAAAAAATTAGCCAAGTGTGGTAGTGCTCACTTGTAATCCCAGCTACTCAGAAGGCTGAGACAGGAGAATTGCTTGCTCGAACCCGGGAGGTGGAGGTTGTAGTGAGCTGAGATCGTGCTACTGCACTCCAGCCTGTGCAACAAGAGCAAAACTCCGTCTCCCCCCACTACCAAAAAAAAAGAGAGAGAGGTTCATTAAGCAATTCAGGGTCACAGAGTCAGTAAGTGGCAAGGCTGGAATTCAAACCCAAGTACTCTGCTTTCAGAGCCTGTGCATATAACCCCTCTAGTTGGCAGAGGCAGCATAGAACACCCGCTAACACCCCTCCCTTGCCCCCACACCTCTCTCCAGCCTTAGTCCCACCTGCCTTGTTCTTGGAGTTCCAGCACGCATTCTGCACGTTTTCAGGGCAGCAGGAGCCCTGATTTTTCAAGGTGACTTTTCTCTTGCTGGCCTTTCCCTCTTGACCTAAGTACAGACAGCTGAGAGAAGGCTCCAGCAGGAAGGAGAAGCTGCTGTAGGAACCTGGGACCCTTCTTGGCTTAGACCTAGCTGGAATCTTGTATTTGGGAAATGGTTTTCTAAAAAGGGCAGAGGGAATCCAGATCTTGTCTTTTAGGAACAAGCTCTTACTGTTGCTGATCAAGGAAGTACGTTTATTTCACAGTTGTTTTTGCTTTTTCTGTCCCTCAAAAGGGGTCTGGAGAATTCTTTCTCTCTAGAGATATCCCCTTTTTAGCAACAAATTAGGAAGATAGTCCCTAATATGAGATAGTCTTGAAGGGTAAAACTGGACATGCCTTGGAATCATATATAGTTATTTTAAATCGTGTCAACCCAGCCAGGTGAGGTGGCTCATGCCTGTAATCCTAGCGCTTTGGGAGGCCAAGAGAGGCTGATCTCTTGAGCTGATGAGTTCAAGACCAGCCTGGGTAACATGGTGAAACCCCGTCTCTACAAAAAATACAAAAATTAGCCAAATGTGGTGAAAAAAAAATCATGTCAATCCAATGTTCCTTCTCTAAAACAAGTATTTTGTAACACTTCCTTTGCTACCCTAAAATGAAATTTAGAGAAAATATAATCTACCCATACACATAATTTAAAAAATCTATTTAATGCCCCAATTGTAACAAAAAGGGGAAAAAAGTAAAATCATAATAAAATGATATATTTTCATTATGTAAATGCTCATACATGACTACACCAGAAGACATAATAAACTAGTTAGTTGCTTGTACTTAGGCATAGAATCTCCATGAATGCAGCAGCTACAAATGTGGACAGCTGTGTTTTTTGGCAATATAAATATCTCTGGTGGTGTTGCCATCAGCGAACTGATTCTCTGAAATTATGAACATGTCCTGATAAAATTCCAACCAAAGCAAAGCATAATCTTCCCTCAATGTGTGTGGTGGTTGTATTCTTGGAAAAGTCAGTGTAGATGAAATCACCAAGTCTCTGTGTCCATCAGTAACACAGAGTTAAGTTCATGGCTCACATATTTATAAAGAGTTTTCACCAACTTCAGTGTATGATGGGTCATTCCAAAGCTGTGTGAGATGCAGGGCAGTTCTTCACTGTGCTGGACTATGCTGGGTAGCATCCCTGGCCCCATCCATTAAATGCTGTAACTCCTCTCCCATAACAATAATAGTAATAATTCATAGATTTCCCAAATCCCCTCTTATCTGATCACTCTTATCGACAAACTGCCAGAGATTCTTTTTCTTTTTTTGAGACAGAGTTTTGCTCTTGTTGCCCAGGCTGGAGTGCAGTGGCATGATCTTGGCTCATTGCAACCTCTACCTCCTAGGTTCAAGCCATTCTCCTGCCTCAGCCTCACGAGTAGCTGGGATTATAGGCGTGTACCATCATACCCCGCCAATTTTTTTGATTTTTAGTAGAGACAGGGTTTCTCCATGTTGGTCAGGCTGGTCTTGAACTCCTGACCTCAAGTGATCCGCCCACTTAGGCCTCCCACAGTGCTGGGATTACAGGTGTGAGCCACCATGCAGGGCATTACAGATGTGAGCTACCGTGCCCAGCAAACCACTGAAATGAATGGGTTTCTCTCTAGGATCTCATTCTTTTGAGAAGTTCTGTGGAGTCTGTTAAAAAGCAGAATCTGCATGTATTGTGCAGCCATTGTGTGCAAGACCTGCCCTGGGAAACACAGACGTATAGCCTGATTTATATGTGGAACTGTGAAAGCTACCTGGGTGCCAAGCTCTCAGGGGTGCCAAGCTTCCAGGGGCCTTAGTCAGTGAGCACACCCCCACCCACATCTTATCCTTGTCTGGAATGCCCTTTGCCTCCTCCTTCATGCCCCCAAATCCAAATCCTGGCTCAGATGCCACCTTCTCCTTCCAGGAAGCATTCCTCCTGCACTGGACAGGTTCGCTCTGTCTCTAGACTCTCATTGCCTGCTGTTGAGGGCTCTCTTAGAATAGTTTCACAAGCTTGGACTCTAAGTCCATCTTCAGGCCTGGCTGGAGATGGCCTCCCTGAAGGCTGAGACTGGGTTCCCTGACAGGGTTATGCTTGGGGCCAGAGCACCAGCAACGGATAAATGAATGCTGGAACCTTGGTTATCTGTTGCTGGTGCTCTGGCCCCAGGCATAGCCATGCCAGGGAACCCAGTACTCCTGTCTGTAGGCATCTTGTTCTTTTTATTTTTTATGTTTTGAGATGAGGTCTCACTCTGTTGCCCAGACTGGAGTACAGTGGTGCAATCTTGGCTCACTGCAACCTCTGCCTCCCAGGTTCAGGTGATTCTCCTGCCTCAGCCACCCAGTAGCTGGGCCTACAGGTGCATGCCACCACACCCAGCTAATTTTCATATTTTTACTAGAGGTGGGGTACTGCCATGTTGGCCAGGCTGTTCTCAAAGTCCTGACCTCAGGCGATCTGTCCACCTCAGCCTCTCAAAGTGCTGGGATTACAGGTGGGAGCCACAGAGGCCAGCCCTTGTTCTTTTTAATTTAGCAAATGGCTTCTGTTTTTCTGTCCTCACCCTTAGTCCTCATTGACTGTCACGAGATGCTCGCTGTGCAGACAGCACTCTCTCGTTGGGAGTCCAGCAGCTCACTCGCTCTGACCAGTGCTGTAGGCCTGGCATGATTTATTGACCCCATTGCACAGATGAGTTGAGAGAAGTGTAAGATCACACAGCTGGCAAGTAGCAGAGTGGAGCTCGCCCCCTCTGTTCCACCTCTCTGGTTACTTTAACACTTCCAAGGCAGAGCCTCTTCCCTG